TTAGAGCCGGATCTGAAAATTCTGGGATCCCATACAAAAAAAAATTATTGACATTAATTTAGATATTTTTTTAAATTTTTTGGGTTTTTAACAACAATACATTCATTTTCTTTTGTGTTAAATAAAAGTATGAAAAAAGTAATTAACATTTTTATTTTTTAACCATATAATCACACAAAATATTTGATCTCACAAAAAATATGTATGTTTTTTCACTAAATTCTCATTTTTTTTCATCAGATAGCATATTTTCATATAAACTAAAGGGAAAATTATCAAATCTACCACTTCTTAGGAAAGATGTTTTCCAATCTACCACAATTCAAAATGTCTTTTATTGAGTACCACAATGGCAGATTGGTAAATTAAAAACTGACAGATATACCTCTGGTGTGGTGAGACAAAAAAATGTAGAATACTACTACAAGAAAACCGGCCAATTTTGGACAGAATTTCGGACGGACTATAACCCGTCGTAAATTTTCCATCGAATTTCGACGGGAAAAATCTCAGTCCAAAATCGGTTGGAATTTTCCGACGAAACTCATTTCGTCGGAATTTGGTTGGAAAAATCGGTCGGAAATCCGTGGAAAATTCATCCCGTTGGAATTCGGTTGGAAAAATCGGTCGGAAATTCGTGAAAAACGCATTCCGTCGGAAATCAGAAAAAAAAATTTCACGAATTTCCGACGGCTTGCATATTCCGTCAAAATCCCTGAAAAAGTTTCCCACGGATTTCCTAGAGAATGTGGTTTAGAGTTACAAAATTTAGTTCTAATATTTAAAAATCTAATCCTACAAAATAAGTTATATATAAAATATAGTTGATCAAATAAAATGATAAATAACTTNCTTTCATTTTAGAATGTCATAATTTCTACATAANAGTNTTACAACTTCTAGTTTAAGTTATAGTATACATCATTAGAGTTATTTTCATTTTTGCATACATGTTTTGTACATTACACATAAATTAAATTTAAACATGTTTTTCTAGGGTGATGATAATATTCTTTCAAAATAATGTATTTTGACGTTGTTTACATCAATTTTACATACCCTATACCCTAATTCCTAGGAAACCTGTGGAAAATTTCCAACCAATTTTCAATGACTTAATATTTTTAAAGAAAAACATAATTGCCGTGGGGAATCCGTCAGAAATTTCCCACGGATTTCTGACCGATTTTGAATTTTGATCGCCAAATTTTTGAAAAACCGCCAAATTGTTTTGAATGAATTTCAATTTCGCGGTAAAATTTAAAATGTAAACGGATTTCCGACAGATTTCATTTCCAACGGCACTTTCGGTTGAAAATCCGTAGGAAAATCTCAATAAATTGGACAGATCAGATATTTTCTCCTTCATTCTCCAAATTTACTCTCTCTCTCTAAACGTTTTTCCTCCCCTTTTTCTCTAGATTCTTCCAAAAATATGTAAGTTTTCTTGTGTTTTATCAAGTAATTTGTTTGTTTCATATATATATAACATGAATATTATAGGTTTATGAATGTAATTTTGTTAGATTAGGTGGTTAAGATTGGGTAATGGTGAATTTGGGTTGTAAAATTGTGAAAAAGTGATGAATTTAGTGTTAGATTGTTTTTTATATCAAAAGTTCATTAGAAAATGTTTTTTTTTTAATATTATAAGTGGTTTTGTGTATACTAATCACGTTTCTATAATCTAAAAATGTGAAATTGGAATATTAAAAACGTGTTTATATACTAAAAATAAATTCTACATGAAATTTTGATATATTAAAACATATACATTTATATATTTATTATGAAAAACGTGATTTATACGTTTTTGGAATATAAATGTAATTTTGATATATAAATTATAAATGTAATTTTGTATAACCTACATAAATTATGTAGGTTCTAGGTTCTAAGTTATTTACATTATGTTCGTGAGCAACTGACGGTTGAAGAGCTAGTGCAACAACCAGGCCGAGAGCTTATCCCAAAGCTACATTTTTCTCGCGAGGGAACACCGTCCTGGTAAAATAATAA